GTATCAGTTTAATTTGTGAAAGACTAAAGGTTGCCAACAATTTATTTCTCTTTTAATATTAAAATTTAGAGAAAGGAAAATACAATATTAATTTAAGATGAAAATGTCAAGCAAATTAAGTATCTTCCATACAAGCTTTCTTTAGGAGTTGAACTTACAAACATAAACATTATGACAAAACCATCTTACGATGATTCCAACCTCAGTAAAAAATCAATTTATGCAATTTACCCATTGATTAAGCTTAATGATACATAAACATCTCATCTTATGAGGTAACTGAAATGGAATTCTGTAAAAGTTAAAGTTTTAGAAATTCTAGAGAGAGACACACATTACTGATAATACAGCATGCCTTATACTTTGATGTCTGTTAACCAAACTATTCTCCCTCCCAAATATACAAAAAAATGTACAGTTATGTTTTGCTTACAACAAAAGGTGTTCAGACAAAAAAAAATCCAAGGAAGTAATATGCCATTTTCTGACGACCTTGTACTGTACATTTTCATTGTTCAGAATACTATAATACAGAGTGGTCAGATTTTACAACAAAATCTTAAGTAGACACTATTCTTTGAGGATGCTGCAGTAAGGGAGATGATGAGGGAGAACCTGAAGTCATCCTTGGCCCTGAGGCAACTGGTGTAGTAGTAGTAGTAGTGATGATGTCCCTTCTTCCAGGTTTGGTGTGTTGCAGCCTTAACCAGATATCTCCTAGAGCTTTAGCAAAATGGTCATCAACTGGAAAAATAATCAAATATTTGATAAAATAAGTCACTGGAAAATATATTCTGAAGTTGATATATACAGTTTAAATAAATGCTATTTTAATACTATTTTTTTGTCAAACTAAGAAATTACATCAAAATTCACCCACTGCACAGAGAAAACGCTAGTTACTGGAAATACACATACATATACATGTCTCTTTTATACTAGAACTGAAAATCTTGGATTGAGATTAAACCTTCATAAGTTACATTTTAAAATCACTTGAACAGTTCCCTTTATGGTTTTAAGCATTTTTGTTAATGTATAAAAAAATATGATTACTTTAAACTTTTTTTGTTTCTTTTCCATTTTGGGAATGTAAAATTAATGAGGAAAAAAAAAAAGACTAATTTATTAACAATATTTTATTAGGAAGTCTGAATCTTAAAAATGGTAGAGTATAAAAACTGGATTTTAGAAGACCCAATCAGTTATTAAATTCAATTAGAATTTCTTTTCTATTTCTCTGTGTGTGTCTATATATGGATATTCTTTAAATAAATGTTGAATATTACCAAATCATTTATAGATACTTGTGGTTGGATACTCCGTTTCCTTTAGTAGGTTCACTGTTGGTTTAGAAGAAACTCTAATGTTGAAAATATGCTATCACCATTGAAATAAAAACTTAACCTTGAGCTGTATGCTTAAGCAGGCTTTCAAATAAATTTTTAATCTGTATATACTGCTGAATAGGTTCTTCTAGATTACTTGGTAAAAAGTTGAAAATCCAGTCTACTAAATGATAACAAAAATGTTCTATTTTTTTCAAGTTTCATGTTTAGTGTAACCAACAGAAGTGTAAACTACTTCTAACAGAAATTCTACTTCTACATCCTTGCTAATTTTATACTTCTATTTCTTCAAGTTCCATATTTAGTGTAACCAACAGAAGTGTAAACTACTTCTAACAGAAATTCTACTTCTACATTCTTGCTAATTTTGTACTTCTATTTCTTCAAGTTCCATGTTTAGTGTAACCAACAGAAGTGTAAACTACTTCTAACAGAAATTCTACTTCTACATCCTTGCTAATTTTGTACTTCTATTTCTTCAAGTTCCATGTTTAGTGTAACCAACAGAAGTGTAAACTACTTCTAACAGAAATTCTACTTCTACATCCTTGCTAATTTTGTTCTTCTATTTTTTCAAGTTCCTATGTTTAGTGTAACCAACAGAAGTGTAAACTACTTCTAACAGAAATTCTACTTCTACATCCTTGCTAATTTTGTTCTTCTATTTCTTCAAGTTCCATATTTAGTGTAACCAACAGAAGTGTAAACTACTTCTAACAGAAATTCTACTTCTACATCCTTGCTAATTTTGTACTTCTATTTCATGATTGAAAACAAACTTAATAATCACACCATTGAACTAATTGGCTGACCGTAACAGCCAGAATGACTAATTAATGCACTAGTTACTCATTAACTGACAAATAAATTCATTAGTTCTAGCCTGACTTGCCTTTTGTACAGTTAAAGTTGTTTCCTAAACTTTAGAGAAAGTTCCAAATATTAAAGCCACACACCTATCATCTTACTTGAAAACTTCCTTCAGGCTCAACAATAATATAAATTTTGAGAAACATCTAGATTAAAAAGATACCTTACAACATATAAATATGCACATATAGATTGGCAAGTTAAAACAAGTTCTTCAAAAAAGTGGAAGAATTTTAAGTGAAAAAATTTCATTAGAAACATTTTCTGAAACCTAAAAATGTAAGCCACAATAGTCATTTCACCGTGAACTAGAATGATGTTATAACACGAGACTAAGTTGTTTTCCACCTTCACATATCACTGTACAAGCAAGACTAATCATGGCCTAGTAAGAGTCATATATATAATATATTTAAATACAGTGTCTTTTATATCCTTATTCCATGATTAAGAATTATAGACTGAAAAAAAATCAAGGTCAATTATTTGCAAAGGTTGTTTCCTTGCTTGCTGCATGACTAAACAAACTCATTAAAAAGCAGAATATTGCATATCTGATTAACTGCTAATTTGTTAGGTGAGGCATATAAGGCAGGAGCAAAGATCTTTTAGTTTTTCTGAATTGGAAAAAATCGAGGTCTTAACCAAACTAACCGGTGAATCCAAGCCAATTTTGCCACACTTAAGTGATTTCAAGATAGCAAAAGAATTTCATATATTTTAATTTTTACCTTTATAACTTAATGGTTTCCAAGTGAAGTAATAAAATAGAAATACTAACCACAAACAAGCACTTTTATCATTCCACACCAATGTTAACTAAACAATTGGTTCCGAGTACTGCCATAAATCATGAAAAAGCTGTATATATGTATTAGTCATTATGTCCATCAAAACTACTTCCAATTTCATTTACAAACAAGAGGGAATCCTCAATAGCTGTGGCACTTGAAATTCTTTTAGACAAGATTAACGTAAATTAATCTACAAGATCTTTTTTTTCCCTTTTTATTAGCTATATTTTTGTGCACCAGCAATACCAAGCGTGAGGCACATGTATACCTGATTTGATTTTATTACTCATCAGGATCTCTACCAGCATGAAATTCTTTTAGGCAGGATTAAATTACTCTGAGACCTTGGGGTGGTCAAATACATCAATTAAAAGGGTTTGACCTCCTGAGTCCAAAACGGTAATTAGATCTCAAATCAGTCAAGAGATGACAGAGCTATGTTAAAATTTGTACTTGAAAAAAACTCAAGAAATTCTATAAGCCCTTATGCCGTGGCTAAAAGTAAAAAGAAAGAATTTGATATTAGACAGGAGTTCAAGATTAAAGAATGGAATATTAAGATTATCAAACTGGTAAATGTTCTTTTTATTTTGAATGATCATCCTTAGTTTTTGGCCTAATTTAAATAAAATAACAAGTGGTAATTTGTCTGGTTATTGTAGTATCCTAAATATATATCTTTTATTACTTCACTTTGAAAACTTCTTAACACAAGAGAAATAAAAATACTACTTGCAGACTGTTAATTTATATTTTATATATTTTTGTCATCAAAATGAGAAAGTTATATGTACAACATCTTAAACCCTTTTATATAACAACCTAAGAAATGATGTAACAAACAATTTGATATGCCTTTAGTTCATATGAAGACTACTTTGTCTCAACAAGAGTAACTTATGATCATTTTAAAAGTAAACTGTATGGATCTTCAAACAAAATGTCACGGATTAGTACTTATATTTCAAAAATCAAAGTTTAATAGTTTACCTGTTACTGATACACTTGGAGCTGTAGAAGTTGCAGATGAGAGGAATTCTGGGTAATCCTTCCCCAAAGATCTTCTGAAGTGTTCATCAATAACAGGATCACACATACCTGTCATAAAATAAGCAACACCTTACATTCAACAATGCAAACCAGAACTAATACAAACCTAATTTTACAAAATTAAAAAATATGTAACAATATTAGCAAGTTTCAATGCTAAGTTATAAACAAAGTAAGTTATTAGAAGTAATAATTTGGAAAACAATAATTTATAAGTATCAAGAAGAGATTTATTTTTGGAGGAACATACACGTTTTGACAGAACACTGGTCTGTCTTCTTCAGTATGATACCTGAAAAAAGACAGACCAATGTTCTGTCAAAGCATGTAGTATGTTCTTCCCAATACAAGTCACTTTATTATGCTTATAAATTATTGTTTGCCAACTTATCATTATATCAGTATAATGTGCTTCCTTACTCGAAATGTCATCTTTCCATTATTGTTTTCTGTTTATCCAGTGCATTTAATGAACACATTAATCCTTTCATTCCTAAATTGAACAGAAAAAACAGAATAGAAACTAAAAAAATAACTCAGATAGTGTTATATACAATTATGTAACTGTAACATGCTCTTTTAATTATTCTGAATCCTTTAATGAAAAAAAAAAAGAAAGCTTCTGAAAAAAAAAAATGGTGGAATTTGCATGTGATTTTTTTTTGTCAGTTAAGTAAAATATATCTGCCAATAAAATTACTCACCACATTAAGTAATATTAGTAAAGACTGTTTTCTAACACTGACTTTAATTCAAGCTTTTCTTTCAAATGAAACAAATTATATGTACAATTAATTATACTTGTCACAAGACATTAGGTCTATTATAATCATGTTTCACTAATAACGAAAAATACTTTAGGTGTTTGTATAACATAACACATCATCACATTTAATTATCCATTACACATGACTGTAATGGTTTTATTGTCTTGATATTTTTCCATGATCTACAGTAATTCCTGTATGCTGAATCCAAAAATGATAACCATTTTTCTCCATCTCATACAGATTTTTCACAAAACGTAATAATGCAATACATAAAAGAAAGACCACAACACATAGTTCTAAGGCTAAAAGACGTAGATTTCACAAATAAAATCAGGTTGAATGAGGATGCATATTCTCTTGACATCAATGTTCTTCCCTTGTCTTCAGTTTTTTTGTATTTTTGTTAACAAACATAATAATACAAAATGTTCATTGTGGTAAATGGCATAATAATTTGATCTAAGTAAATTTTTTTCTTCCCAATTTATAGAAAATCCTTAGGTGATACAAAAAATTAATAGTATTTTCAAAATCTGCATAGCTGAATTATAGAAAATCCTTTATTAAAACCAAAACAACTTTTACCAAGTTTAAATTTGCAGGTCAGCATTATTATTCAGTGAACTAACTGGTTACTTAATAGTTAATTTCTTTTCTTCATTAAAACATGAATTTAACTAAAGAAAAGAAGATTTAGAGGCCTAAACCCTTCTTTGATTCACTACTACTACTGCAGCAGACTAATTTTGCTAAATTCAGAGATCATCAATACTGCTTGAAACAGGGAAGCAATTAAATAAAGCAGGCTTCATATAGTGATAGAATGTAAGCAGTTTGTTTGGATTTGATGAATAGTCACTTACTCATCACTAATATCCCAAGATACCTTAAGTGTTTGGATAACGTGAACTAACTGATTATTTATTTAGTTGTTAATTTCTTTTCTTCACCAAATGGCTTATACACAGTGTTCTGACCACTAATGTGTTTTTTGTATTCCAGCTGGCCTTATGAGCTTTGTATTAAGCTAAACACACCATCAGCAATGAATACAGCAGACTTAGTGTGACTGAAATACTACTATAGATGTCTTCTACTTGAAAAACCCTTAGGGACTGAATTGAGAATGCATTGTTAAAAATATAATAAGTCTAATACTAATGTCTTATGACAAGTATTATTAATTATAATCATTTTTTGCCAGCTAAAAAGTTTAAGTTAATCTATCAATCTAACTGTATTGAACTTGAGCCAAAACTCTGAGTTACTTATACCACCCACCGTGAAAAGTAATTGTTGGATATTTCAGTCATGCTAAGTGACAATAACATACAGTAAATCTACATTTTTATTCTATAAGTTATGTCACATTTTGAAATGTGAATGATAATGTGATTAATTCCTAATAGTTTATTTTAAAATATCCTGCTTGCAAAATAAAATTTGACATCAACATTATTCATGCCTGTTCTCCTGCATTTCAAAAGTGAGTGTTGAACTTTGCCTGAATGTGTAGCTTTTCAAATGCAGCACGAGAAGTAGCAGCCATAAATGGGAAACAGACGAACACTCAGACAGACACTATGGTTCACAATATACACACATACTTACATATATATATATATATATATATATATATATATATATATATATA